GATTCTGAGCCATGTCACCCACAGTCTCCAACCATTGGTTACATCAGTCACGCGGACCCCAACCAAGTAGTCTGCATCTACCAACATGACTCAGACTAGAAGTTAATGACTTCAAGCACTGCTGTCACGTTTTGGTTTGACCACCCCCAACTTTCTTCCAACCATCCTGAACACCGGTTAGCATTGCACGTCGTGGTAATCGGTGTTCAGGCATACGTAACACGTGGCCCAACCATCTCAGTCGATGAAGATTCACGAACTCACCAACTGATTTACCATCATTCCGTAATACACTGCGTCTCACCTCACTATTACTTACCCGGTGATCCCAGCAGACGTCAGCAATATTTCTGAGGTATCTGTGGTCAAATACTAGTAGCTTACGAGTGTCTTCTACTCTTAATGGCCATGTTTCGCTGCCGTAAATTAAAACAGAACGGACTACCGCGCAGTATACTCGTCCTTTTATTGATAGACAAATATCTCGCCTCCGCCAAAGGTGACGTAAGTTGGCAAAAGCCAAACGAGCTTTTCGAATCTGTGCTGAGATTTCGTCAGACACCAACCAATTAGGGTTGACCAGACTTCCAAGATAAGTGAAGTTGTCAACGCGTTCGACTACTTCACTCCCTATCCTTAGTTTAGATGTTAACGCAGACCAGTACTGAAGCAACAACTTGCATTTCGAGGGAGAGAAGCGCATTCCAAACATTCTGGAATTGTTGCTCAGTGCTACCAAAAGACTGCATTTTATCAGCGTCTTCACCAAACAGGACTATGTCATCTGCGTATTCTAAGTCGATAAGTGGACCTCTTGAAATGAGATCAATACTCGAGAATTCAGTAGACGAGAATGTTATTTCCATCAATAGATCTATGATTCAGTTAAACAAAAATGGAGAAAGTGTACAGCCTTGACGGACACCACTTGAGGTTTCAAAAGTAGATGGCAGTTCGCCATAAGCCCTGACTCGACTAGTAGTGTTCGAGTAAAGAGCCTTCACAAGGTTTATGTACTTCTGAGGTACACCTTTCAATGACAGACACTGCCACAGAATCTCGCGTTTGACAGAGTCAAATGCTGCTTTTAAGTCAAGAAAGACCACCATTGTCGGACGCCGATAAGTATGCCTGTGTTCTAGAACCTGACGAATGGTGAATATATGGTCGATGCAGCCACGACCAGGTCTGAAGCCAGCTTGGTTCTCTCGTGTTTGCAGTTCACGAGTCTTAGTTAGGCGTCTGATAATTATCGAGGCTAGTATTTTAGATACTATATTAGTTAAACTAATCCCTCTGTGGTTGTCACAGGATGATTTTGACTCTCTCTTATATATTGGGACGATAAGTGATTGTGACCATTCAGATGGAACAACGTCTAATTCCCAGATCTTAGCTAAAATATTAGTCAACCTAATCGCTAAAATTGGACCACCATCCTTAAAGACCTCTGGAGCCAAGCCATCTGGACCAGCTGCCCTTCCTCGTTTCAGACTAACTATAGCCTTTTGAACTTCAGCTCGAGTTGGGGGACCTACTTCAATGTTCCATTCACACTGTCTGGTAATGGTGGGTAGTTTTAGAGTAGATGAAGGCCAGTTGAACTGTTCTCTGAAATGTTCCACCCATCGTTCTAAACGTCTGGACTGAGAGCAGATGAGGGTGTCGTCTTTTTCCGAAATAGTCTGATTTACACTTGATTTATTAATTCCAGTTTTTTTTTATTAGTCCGTAGAGCTGTCTTGTGTTCCCTATAGCCGCCGCCTTTTCTATCTCTTTTGTTTTCGTTGCCCACCACTGCTCACGGTTGTTCCTTAGACTTTTGCTTAACCTAGATCTGATTTGTTGCCGCTCTTCATCGTGTTCAGAGCCTGATGAGATGAGTTTACGAGAATCCATCAGTGCAATAGACCTAGAGGAAATCCATTGGTTCTTTGTAACCCTTTAGTTTAAATCACAAATAGATATCACCGCTGTTTCCACAGCTGTTTGTATAGCTTTCCAAGCAACATCTGGGTTAGCCTCGTTTTCAGAACTACGTAAGTGTGACCTCAGTTGTTCCTGGAGCCTACTTTTGGTTTTCTCGCTACTCAATTCCGTTCCAATGGGTCTTTTTACTGAGGCTTTTTTGCGTCCAATGAGGCGCAAGCAGATGCGTGCCCGTATTAGGGCGTGGTCGGAGTCCAAGCAGGTATTCCAGAATGAGCGACAATCTTCTACCGACCCTCTCCAACGATGACTGATGGCAATATGGTCTATTTGAGTCCATCGTTGGTTTGGTGTAGGGGGTCGCCATGTTAGACGATGTCTCTCCTTATGCTTAAAATTTGTGTGTGCTAAAAATAAACGATTGTCTGAACACACGGAGGGTGTATCTCGTCGGGTCTTCGTTTTGCCGAGGTGAGGTCAAGTGAATGACCGCACTGGAATCCTGTGTGTCTGTTTCAGAGACACAGCATACATAAATGGTACGAGATTCTAGGGTTCTAGCCAAGGAAGCCTGTTGACCGATTTGACATAGGGTGCGTACGTTGAAGGCTCCAATGTGTAGTTTGGAGCGAGGTTTCAGTAGACCTGGGACAGTGTTTTGAGCACTAGAATCGTTGGCTATGGTGACATTTGAGGAGGAAGTTGAAAGAGGAAATTTAGAGTTGAAAGTCGATGTAGGAGGAAAAATAGGAAGTGAAGACAGAGGTTGATTATGAATACAGTGGTCTTGAGTGCTGTTAGAGGTATGAGGGCGGTTATCATTTCCCGGATGCTCACACCGTGGAAGGGTTGTTCTGGAGGTACCTTAAAAAGAAATTGGATTAGAGGTGGTCTTAGTAACCTGGGAGCGTGACCGCAGTGCTCAAGGGACAACTGCTTGAGGTCAGTCACACACGACCTTTTTGTGTTAGCTCCGTACTTTTTGAGACCTTACCACCAGAGACGGATATCCGTGGGATAAGGCGAGGTGTGCATTTTAGGGTCGACCTTTCCTAACCCCACCCCTTGTTTTGGGAAGGCAGCATCGCTGTCATGCTGGTTGTCTGAAGGAAACACCTTACTGCTGTCACACCTCTGTACAGTCAGCAGCACGACTTCGCCTTCGGACCTTGGGTTTGTTGCTTTTAGCCTGACCGCTCATCAACCGACCTGTCTGACATGGTAGGACCTTGAGGAACAGTTGTTCCAGCCAGTATAGCTCGGTTGCTTCATCACGATAGGCAAGCCCGACCACCACGTCGAGGTAGCAACAACAGTCGGGATTATAAGTGTATAATTATATTAGTATAATTAATTGTGATAATAATTTGATTACAAAGTTTCAAATAACTAATTATAGAAGAAGGAAGAATTTATGCTACTTAATAATTGGGATAATTTATTTTTTTGAACATGGTAATATTGGTATAAAGGAGCACCGAATACATATGCACCACACATGTCATTTGATTTGTGTATGGGCTGTGATACTGCCCAGGCCACACCTGAAGCCTTCGACCCAAAGGTCTGACCCACAAGGCAGTGAAGCAATGTCGAGAGATACAGTCCCATGGTAGTCGGTGATCAACAATGGGTTTACACGCCATTCATTTCCTTAGGTGAATCCTCCATATCCACCAACCCGGTTAAAGCGCCGGAAATTCGGTTTTTATCCTCTCAATTTCGTAGAAAACGGTAATGCCGCGAGAAGGTAGTGAGTAAGACTACTGTGGGAGTGATTGTATACGCGTGGCCATGTGAGAAGATTTGGAGATAGAGAGCTGACTCTTCTCGCCTTCAGCCGTATCAGGGCATTTGGGGGCTATCATAATTGGTGTTGATTGACTAGTGTTATAATGTGAATATTCAATACTATCAAAATGAATTATTTTTGATATTGAAACTGAAAACAGTTATTTTATGCCTTTCAGCTTGATTTATAATGTCTCTAAATTTATCTATTCAATATATTTGTATCGTAGTATATTAGAAGTGAAAACTGATAAATCCCACTTACTTCAAATAAATAGTATCGTTGGAATTAATTATGCATATCTTAAATAGTTTAGTGTTCTATTCAATCATTGTGAAAATGAACTATTCACATTTGTAACAGTGTCGATAAAAAAACTGACTTTGTCGTCATATAACCATTGTGTTAATCTTTTTAGCGAGATTGACTATACAATTTCTCTGTCAATTCAGATAGTTATTTTGAGGTAGAACTCGTCATTTTCAGACATCAAGAGGCATTAGTTTGTAATTGCTTCGGTCTGGGCACCCGAGAAGTATCACAGCCAACGCACAAATCAAGTGACTTGTGTAGCTCATGTGTATTCAGTGCCCCTTTGTACCAATATTTATGTGTTCAAATAAATAGATATTAAATAATAATTGTTTAAAGTGCGATCTATCATTTTTCTCAATATAAATCAACTGATAGTGTATCATGATTTCTTTTCGCTGATATTATATTATTTACTATTATCCATAAAGTTTGAGGAATTCACTGAGATTTCTGATAAAAAGACAACAGAGTTGCTCGAATCAATAACCAAATAGTGGTTTATTTGTATGCTAGAATTTGAGTCACTCCTACTGTATGATTAATGAGCATAAGATACTCCTTATTTGTCTAGACTGAAATTAAGTTAAGAAAAACAACCCTTTGGATAAAAAAATCAATATAGTCTACTGTGATTGTCAATGATTATCAAATCGGGATTAATACTAACCTAGTTAAACTCATTTGCCAGGTATGGATTCATTTATTTGTCTCCGAGCCATACAGTAAGTATGCATGCTAATGAGTGATACGACCTAGTTTCACAAACCGAAGCCAGGGCTCGAAGTCGTCGCCTTGTGGCTAAAAGTTGAATGGCCTTACACACTGAGTTACTGCTTTACAAATGCTGTCTAGCTCATTATTTCACAATTCATTTGATGTATAATTTCCTATTTAATGTGATATTCCTCCTTTTATTTTGCTTTTTACTATCCTTTCTTTTTTTGTAACTTTCAAAATAATATAGTCAATAAGTCGTCAATATTTACATCTTATTGTCAATGAAAAATTAGAGAATAGTTTGCTAAATCAAATTCAATTGTCCAATGATTTTATTCATCGGGCCCGATTGGATAGTGGAAATGTATTAGTGTGCAGGTAAGCTCTCTCTCTCTCTCTATCTCTATCTATCTATCTATCTATATATATATATATATATATATATATATATATATATATATATATATATATATATATATATCATTCGATCATATTGTGTATTTGTGCGGGTGTAGTACTATTATCCTTAAATCCGAATTATATATATATGCCGTGGTACGGCTGAGGGTGGAAGGAGTTCGCTCTCCTTCTCGAAATGCCCTTACTTGGTCACGTGTATACAGCCTCTGCCAGGGAAATCCTACTCACTGCCTTATCGCGGCATTACTGTTGTTTACGAAATTGAGAGGACTAAAAGCAAATGCCCGACGCTTGGACCGGATTAGTGGTTCAGTCTTGTGTGCTATTAGAGGTATGTGGGTGGTTATCACTCCCGGGTTTCCCACACCGTGGAAGGGTTCTTCTGGATCTACCTGAAAAGGAACTTGGACTAAATGTGGTCTTAATGATTTGAGAGAGGGACCACATTGTTCAAGAGGGCGAAGACACACTGGCAGCACGAAAAAATGAAGAGAAATACCTGAAGGACATATTTCAAAAGAACGGCTACCCAATCAACTTCATCAAAAAGCACCAACGGCACACAGCATCAAAACTCAAGTCAAGCACAAAAATCAACAAAAGGATCACTCTACCGTACATACAAGGAATATCAGAAACCGCAACGAGACTGCTGAAAACCTTCGGGTAGGGTGTGGCACACAAACCAACAAAATCACTACAATCAATCCTATGCAAACCAAAGGATGAAATAACAAAGGAAAACAAATCAAACATCATCTACAAAATAAATTGTACCAACTGCGACAAACACTACATCGGACAAAGCGGACTCCCCCTCCACCTACGCCTACATGAACATCAATTAGCAGTCAAACGCCATGATATCTCTTCACTTATATCAATACACGTGGATAACTACAGACACTCATTCGATTGGAAAAATGTAGAGATCTTAGACAGAGGAAACTCCAAAAACACCAGAGAATTTTTAGAAGCCTGGCACTCAGATCAATCAGCAATCAACAAACATATTGAAATCAATCCAATTTATCAACCAATCAGGAAAATCATGCATAAATATAGGAACAAAAATCAAACCAATGGGAGACACAACCAAAACAATGATAAATTTAAGGTCAATAAGAACCAATCAACATCGAGGTGCACAGAACAAGCTGTGAAACACATATGGAGAAATTCGAACACTTCACTTCTATCTGAAGTTTGTGCTGATGGTGTCGTTCAGATGAACGATGAAAGCTCTATGACCAAACCATCCAGCTCAGAGAACAAAACTCCACCAAAAAGGTACCACAGTGCCCAAGGGAAAACTGCTTGAGGTTGGTCACACACGACCTTTTTGTGAATAATTTTTGTGTTAGCTCCGTACTTGTTGAGACCTTACCACCGGAGACGGATATCCGTGGGATAAGGCGAGGTGTGCATTTTTGTGGTCGGCCATTTCTAACCCCACCCCTTGTTTCGGGAAGGCAGCATCTCTGTTATGTTGGTTGTTTGGAGGAAACACTTTACTGCTGTCACACCACTGTACAGTCAGCAGTACGATTTCGCCTTCGGACCTCGGGGTTATTGCTTTTATTCTTATCGCTCTTGAACCGACCTGTCTGACATGGTAAGACCTTGAGGAACAGTTGTTCCAGCCAGTATAGCTTGGCTGATTCATCACGATAGGCAAGCCCAATCACCATACCCGACCACTACGTCATGATAGCAACAACGGTCGGGGAAATAGTAGTTACACAGGATCCAATCAAGAGAGTTGGCGAATCCTGTTTCCATACCAATCTTACACATGGGCTCTAGTATCAAATGGCGTATGAACCTATTGTTGGTCACTGGCTACCATGAGACTGCATCTCTCGACGTTACCCCACTGCCTTGTGGATCAGACTTTCAGGTCGAAGGCTTAGGGTGTTGTCTCTTAAGAAAATCACCTGCTTCGATCTGGGCACCCTGTTAATATCACAGCCCACACACGAATCAAGTGACTTGTGTGGCGCATTTGTCTTCGATACCCTTTTGTACCAATATTTTTGTGTTCAAATAAATATAAATAAATAAACGTTTATCAACTTCTGCGCCTGCTTACGACTGATTGATTGTTATTGAAAATACCATACTTAGTAATAAGGAAATAAGTTTGTATGCTCAGTTTTAAACCACATACATTTTGGGACCACTAAGGACATTACTTGGTCATTACAACCACTGTAGTTAATCAAACATGATTTGAACTTGTGAGCTCATGTTAATTAAAAGTAAAATGCTTTACACATTACATTATCGCCTTAAATCTTCTGTTTCAAATATAATATCTAATAAACATTATATGTTTCCAACAAATCAATATAACCTCATTTCTTTAGTTGGTACCTATCGATTGTTCTGGCTATTATGAGTTATTAAATAACATTTTGATTAAATTGTTTAAATCGTGCCTAATTTAGATAGTTCTAATGTGTATATAAGGTTAATACACAACACTGAATGAAAACTAGTATGTCGATATTTGTTTAAGATTATCCATCTGTACAACCATTGACGATAGTTTCACAAAATTGCCAATTGATTGAAATTAGAAATGTAAACTATGGACTACTAACTCACTAATTTAAAGGTTGAACATTCATTACCAGACCTAGTGATCTTATGTTCCATCCCCGGTAGGGTAATGGACATTGATTTCAAAGTGGTCGCATAGTGCTTCCTGGTTTGTAATTATTATGACTTTTGCCTCTATCAGTTATCACGTGACAGAATCACCAGTCATGATACTGACTTATGTGATCTTGGCCTTGTTCTAAACCAGTGATACGTCAAGTAGCACTAGCAGCCCTGCGTCAACTCTGAAACCTTATTGGTCTTCGCGTAGCCCTTCCCGCTGAGTCCGGCAATCAATCTTAACCTCCACTGTATGATTAGTGTATATCAAACATACGTAGTTTATGTACAAGCAAATGAGACTGCAAAATACTATAGAGTAGAAGATAACAATTATACAAGATGAAACCAAAATGTGGCTGTGAGTGTAAAAAAACCTGTAACTAATAGATTGGGAATAAGTTAAGAATGGTAAATCGTATTGTAGGTTAATTGAATGCTTATATATATACATAATAACAGTATTAATAGTTCCCGGAAGTTATCCATTATTTAATCTTCTTCGAATACAACAGTAATGTTTATTAAACTATCATCGTCTGTTGGTGTAAACTATGAAGATCGATATCCTGTTATGTTTTTGTTGGGATGCTATCACAAGAATGAATCCAACATATAACTAGATTGATTGAACAACTCATACAGAACAATGACACTTCAATGGTTTCATAAAAATGAACATTAGCTATAAAAACGAAAATTAAACTTTATAAAATAATTCTTTACTTCAAGTAAACTCAATGAAATTAGCAAACACTACTCAATACATTTATACAGTATTTTACATAATCGTGGGGAAAACATTTGTCAATATTTGATGATTGGTTATTACTGAGAATTGGGATGTTGTGACTGGTGTCACTGTCTAGTTGATGAGCCTGAATAGCAGAATGATATAATAAATATGCTACTACAGGAAGTTTGTGGAGATTGCTAAATTTCATAGGTTACATCATAGACTAACATTAGTTAGACAGCCGTCGAAATTTAGATAGTACTGAACAGCTGTCTCATCCCAGTTCACGACTTCTCAGCTGTACACAATCTCGACTTCAGTTGGGTTAATACCAGTTATCTTTAGGTCTCATGGTGAATGCTTAACTTTCAAACATCCGGTCAAGCTTTCAATAGTGTGCATGTTTAGTTTATCAATACGAGATTATCGTCAATTATCTTTCAATACTTGAGTTCAATCCTATATGCAGTCGTGGATAGGCACTACGAAATAGTCTTATACTAGGATGAAATAACTATCCAATGCTTTCTGACTTTTAACAGTTGCTCAACCAAGATTATATAAAAACTTTATTAAACACTATAAGCAAAGATAAATTGTAGCTAGCAATGGAATCCATGACGTGCGTTTCGTTCTATTTTGGGGCTCATCGGTTGAATGTGCCTAGATCCAAGGGTTCATGTTCATTCCGTGACTTTTTTCTCTTTTTTTTCCGTATCTCTTTTTTTTAAAGCTTTATTCAATATTATATTTTCGGTACAATATAGAATTCTCAGCACAAAGTATTTCAACGAGTTTCCGTTTCTTTCTTCTTGGTTGATCCTGGCGATAAATATTGAGTGATAGCCAGTTAGATGTTAGCAGTCCAGTAAATAAACATCTGAATAATGTATATTCTTTTCTCTGCATATTGCCAGCGACCACATTATCTCTTATTGAGCTTTTCGTAACTTTGACAACGAAAGGTTGTAAACTTTTCAGAAGTGCACTAGGATGGGTTATGCGATTAATATACATATTGATATATTAAAACAAACAAAAATAGATAACTTGTTGAAATATTTAGATGACAGGAACAGGTAGCCAGATGCTCAAGCAGGCCGCCGTATCTCTTGAACTCAATACTGTTCGCTTCAAATGCCATCACATTCTCCACTTAGTTACTGAGTTCATATAGCCACTAACTTGTGCAATGGGTTGAAATTGTAATTCATTTTTGTATTGATTGTTTATTAAACAATTTTTTTTGAATTTTTTTCTTTTTTAATTAGTGATTCAGGTCTATCAGCTAATGTAGCTGTTGTTACAGCTTATTTAATGACTGTTTATTCATTAGATTATTATTCAGCTATTGGAGCTTTAAGAAGTTTACGATATGGTGCACATCCAGTTGAACCTTTACAAAAACAATTAATAGAATTTGATAGTGAAACTAATGAAAAATTAGTTAATAAACAAAATCATACAAATAACACTCATCGAGAACAACAACAACAACAACAGACTGAATTATTAGATTCTTCTAAACATCCATCGAATTCCATAATGTATTTAACTATCACATCAGCATCAGAACGTGAACGATTGAATTCAATTTACGGTGAATGGCCATATCTTGAAGTATGTTTTCTTTTTTTTTCTTTTACTTTATTATATAATAATCGATCATTATTATCAAGTGTATCTTCCAGTTAACTTGTCTAAATTTCTTCAGGATAAATAATCGAAATTAAAATAGTCCATGTTATGTAATCAAATCTAGACACTAAGTGATTATGCAATCCTATTAGGAAATGAATTGGCTTTAATTGTTTGCATAATCTAAGTCAGTTAAATGTGTATCATGTGAAAAGTTCACAATGTCAATTGAAATGAATGAGTGATTGTGTGTGTGTGTGTAAGTTCGAATAAATAATAGTTAATATTTAGTGTTAATTTGTTTAAATTTTCTTTTGAAACGTTTATTTGTATATGGTCAGTCAGTCAGTCAGCTACAACGTAGCATCAGGCACGTATGTTCATCGGTCGAAGTTGCCATACGTTATTAGCACAGCAAGATGAACACTGAATTCATAGAAGCAGTTACTTCAATTGTAGTGATATATGAAAAAAACGTTTGTGTACCATGGATATAGTACAGGAAGAAAGAATTAGTTCGTAGAAAGAAAGATATGAAATAATTTTATTCGCATAATTTAAGGGAATACAAGGAGTGTATACACCGACGCCATTGTAATCGATTGTGAGCCATGTCACCCACAGTCTCCAACCATTGGTTACGATAGTTAAGCGGACCCCAACAAGATAGTCTGCATCTACCAACATGACTCAGACTAGAAGTTAGTGTCTTCAAGCACTCATGCCACGTTTTAGTTTGGCCGCCCCTAACTTTCTTCCAACCATCCCGAACGCCGGTTAGCATTGCACGTCGTGGTAATCGGTGTTCAGGCATGCGTAACACGTGGCCCAACCATCTCAGTCGATGAAGATTCACGAACTCACCAACTGATTTACCATCATTCCGTAATACACTGCGTCTCACCTCATTATTACTTACCCGGTGATCCCAGCAGATGCGAGCCATATTTCTGAGGCATCTGTGGTCAAATACTAGTAGCTTACGAGTGTCTTCTACTCTTAATGGCCATGTTTCGCTGCCGTAAATTAAAACAGAACGGACTGCCGCGTAGTATACTAGTCCGTTTATTGATAGACAAATATCTCGCCTTCACCACGGGTGACGTGAGTTGGCAAAAGCCGAACGAGCTTTTCGAATCCGTGCTGAGATTCCGTCAGACACCAACCCATTAGGTCTGATCAGACTTCCAAGATAAGTGAAGTTGTCAACGCGTTCGACTACTTCACTCCCTATCCTTAGTTCAGGTGTTGACGCAGACCAGTCCTGAAGCAACAACTTGCATTTCGAGGGAGAGAAGCGCATTCCAAACATTCTGGAATTGTTGCTCAGTGCTACCAAAAGACTGCATTTTATCAGCGTCTTCACCAAATATGTGAAATAAATAGGTTGGATAGAGATAGGGTTTGATTACTTGTTAATGAACATTTGCCATGTGGTAGCTAGTTGAATACCATTTTTCCTGTTGAGTTTTTTGTTATTAGCTCATATATACGGCGCTTCTGCTGCCAATCCTTCTGTATGCATGATAAATCCTTTCTGAAGTATTTTAATCTCTTCAAATTTCTTCTTGTGTCCTGTTTCCAATGCATATAACTTTATCGCCGACCTATTCTCAAGTTTCTATAAATCATCCGAGTTTTAGAAACATAGTTCAAACACTGATTGTGTTCTTTCAACCTCACATTCAATTATCCCGAATAAGCCTCACTTCAGTCATAACAATTGATCTCATAGACAAAATTCTATTGTTTTTTCTTCTTTGGAAACCTCTCCTTAACTTTCATTAATGCTGATCCTATACTATCACTAGGTCGAAAAAACACTCTCATATATTGTATATTCCTCACCATTTCTTTCGATGCTTTTTTTCACGGCACGGGATGATCATAGTTTTCTTCCATAATATTCTCTTCTAATATTTGGTTCCCAATTTCTGTCAAACTATTCATTTTAATATTGACAAATACTTGTATACATTGATAACATTTATTCTTCCTTTCATTTTTTTTCTTTTTGGCTTGTGTTTGTGCTTGTTTTTTCTTCTTGTTCATCATAAAACTTCAATAGGACAATCAAAAGAGATAGAGTTATGGTTTCACAAACATATGATCTATTTATGATATCGCTCATACTTTTGATCAATTTAATCACACACTACTAACTGTTAAGTCATTCTGTTTTTTAGGAAAATTTATAAAAGATAATGAAATAAATAAAATTTCTAATAAACACAAGGTGATAATTGTAAATAAAGAAGAGAAAATTGATTGAATATGTAAAAGGATATGAAATCATCACATCACTTTAGGGGTGTAAAATCAGTCAGTCTGGAGTGGTGTTAAAGGTATGAGGGCGGTTATCACTTCCCGGTTGCCCACACCGTGGAAAGATTCTTCTGGAGGTCTCTAACCATCGGTTGCTATCGTCTCGCGGATCCCAACCGGGTATTCTACACCTATCAACATGACTCAGTCCGCTTGTCAGTGACTTCATGGTTTTGTGCCATGTTTTGGTCTGGCCACCCCAAGCTTTCTTCCAACCTACTCCTATACCATTGAGCATCGCACGTCGAGGCAGTCGGTGGTTGGACATACGTAACACATGTCCCAGCCATCTCAACTGGTGAAGTTTCAGAACAACGGTCGGGAGTGTAAAATGGCTTGAAGATTACCTAGGGACAATTAATTCCGGCTCATGATAAATTGTTTTTGTACAAATAATGGATGAGTCTAAATTTGTGTTTAGGCAAAACTTTTTTAAACCTAATTATTCATCCTTCACGATTTCTATATGACATTTTTTAAAGGTTAATTGATGTTAATTCTACGATTTATTTCAGTGATATATAAAACAATTAGTCACCATCATCCTCTATTGCTAAACATATAATTGAAACAGATCACAAGATTGATCTAAATTCAGCTTTCGTAGTGTTGTATAAAAGTGTAAAAGGGCGTATACCAAGGTTTATTGAAGCCTTAGCCATACGAAAATTCAAACTTCCTTTATGTGTTCAAAAACAGTTTGTTCTTACCTTAAACCTACCCTGGTAATATTGACTTATTATCCAGAGTGATTAGGTTACGAATTGTGTTCACATTATTATTGTTATTATTATTATTATTACTCTTATCATTATCCTTATCTCCTCTTACCCCGTTTCCAGTCTAGTTGACCTTTTATTTATATGTATAAATGCTCTTAACAAGTATATGTGTGATCAGATTGTTCGAAATGTATTGCCCTAATATATTACATAGTTCTGATAATCTTCGTCTTCTAATTACATGATCGAAATCAATGATATTCTTGCTATCGATGAACATGACTTTCTACTTCCTATATTTATCGGAGTTATTTGACATTAAGATGACTGGTTTATTCACAATTAGATAATTAGAAGGAATATTGAACTATATGAATGGCTACATCAGTTCAAGTGGCCATGACTCGTTAACGTAGAGACTCGAAATTCTCAGGTCAAATTCCAGAATGGTAGAGTTAGCAACAGTATGCATATTAATTTAAAAGATAAAATGTCAAAGATGCGATTCAAGAAATTATAAATTAGTGAAATAAAAACACAAAAACTAGTTATGAGAAATTCATGAGTTCAGAATTTGGAGGAAGACAAAGAATAGATGCACCTGCACCATTGCAAACGATTTTTGAACCATGTCATTCGAAGTCTCTAACCGTTGGTTACGACAATCACGTGGACCCCAACCAGGTAGTCTACACTCATCAACATGGCTCAGTTCAATGTTCAATGACTTTATGGACTGATATCATTTCTTGGTTTGACCGCCTCTAGTTTCCTTCCATCCTACTATTATGTATAGTCTTGAATGCAACATACAAAGTATACAGTTTGAAGCATTAAATACATGGATCTACATGCAAATTGTATCATTTTTTTAATTCTTTTTTTTACTATTTTTTAAATCAAGGAAGATTTACAAATTCTTCATACTGCTTTAAATTCTCACTTGAATTCAACTGAAGAGTCAGAATTTCTATTTAATAATGAATATGATAAAACTATACAAAATGACAAAGAATATGATGTTGATATTGATAATAATGAAAATAATCCAAGTAATACTCGTACTACTGTAGTAGTAGCTACTGTTAAAGATAATCATATTAATCCTAGTATACATGGTATCAGTGAAACTTCTTCAATTCTCAATGTTATTGAACACACTAAGGACCATGGTAGCCTAACTGATTCAGAGTCAATACAATCTAATTCAAAATATTTGGATAAACGACAAGATAATACAATATTGAGTAATAATGATAACAATAATAATAATAATACTGATGACGATGAAGATGGTTGTGGTAGTGTTGGTGTTTGTGGAAATGATCTAGATAGTATACCGTTTGTAACTGTTCCGATAAATGGTGTCCTTATATCAGGTTAGTTTAATATTCTATTTAAAACAATTAGTCCCCTTGATATATTTAGATGATTCGATAAGAAGACGAAGGTTATCAGAATTATATGATATATTTATGCAATACATCTCAAACAATCGGATCATACATATACTTGTTAAATACACTTATATATGAGAAATTAAATGGTAAGTGGAAACAAAGATGATAACAATAAAATACACAATATGAAAACTATAGTGAATAATAAGTCAGTATTACCAGGGTAGGATTAAGGTTAAGAATAAATAGTTCTATGAATTTGACGCTCATCTTGTTTTGCTAATAAGGTGTGACAAGTTGAACCAATGCATATATGTGCCTGGTCCTATGTTGTAAGTGACTGACTGACATAAAATGAATTTCAGTTTTCGTATAGTCAAGACTTAAAAAAAAACACCTTAATATACACCTTTTAAAATTGTGTACAAAATTACAAAGGCTGACTTGATATAAACAGTATGACCAGTCTCAATCAAATGTTTCGCAATTGTGAAGGATATTTGCCTATCCTGTGTTCTTATTTGACTGTTGGAATTCATTTGTTTTTGCAGCCATTTAGGTATGTGTTTGGCTACCCTTATACGCAGCTCGCAATTGCTCCTTCCTATGTACGTGTTTTTACACATACACATAAATTGATAGACAAAAGGGGATGTGACAATATCGCTTACATGCTGTTTAAATTTTCAGTGAAACATAAACCTTAACTTTTCGATAATGACTAGTTGGGATACATAGAACGTCCTGTTGATAGTTAGTTAAAGTATTCATTTGAACATGAGACTATTTGAGACACCTCTGAATGGTAAGATATTATAGACTCGTTTTTCGGGTTTCATAAACGTCATATCTCTCATCATATTAATGTCTTCCCAACGGCTCATAAACTTCAATAAATGACCATTATTCATCAATGTTTCAGTTAAGAGCCTCACGTCTCCCTCAATAGTATCGCTAGTACAAATACGACTGATCCTATTAAATAAGCCTTTTAATAATCCACGTTTGTACTGAGTTGAACTGTGGCTATAAAAACTAAGATATTGGCCTGTTCATAATGGCTTTCTATATTCGCAACGTGGAGCCATCATCTCTTCTACCAATCAATATGTCTAGAAAAGGGAGCTGATTATCCATCTCTTCTTCGTATTGTAAAAGAAATATTTTTCTTAATTTATTTTGAGTTCCCTTAATAAGCAGATTACATTTTAACTGAAATTCGTTTTATGTGTTCGAAAACAATTTATTCTTAGCCTTAACCCTACTCTGGCAATACTGACTTATTATCCACCATAGTTTTCATATTGTGTATTTTATTGTTATCATCTTTGTTTCCACTTTTTAATTCTTCATATATAAGTGTATTTAACAAGTATATGTATGGTCAGATTGTTTGAAATGTATTGCATAATGTATTCGAGTGTTTTGCTAGATTATTTCTTGCAAGATGTCGAAATTCATTCATTTTATGATCGAGATCATGAAACGATTGATGTTGTACCACCATTGAAAACCTGGAAGCACTGTGCGGACGTTTCGTCCTATTGTGGGACTCCTCGGTAATACGCTTCCACGATCTCGCTCGCGGGGTTCGAACCCATGGCCTTTGGTCTCGCACACGAACCCTCAACCTCTAGACCACTGAGCTGACTGGCATCCAACAGTGTTAATGTCTAACCTCATCCAATTCATTTTACATTGACAGATCTATTTGCTTTGTAAATAATGCAAAATTATGGTCTTTTTCACAGTTATGGCTGAATATCTTAAGGCTGTATTGGATAAAGCTCTTAATTTTCATTTGGTGAATCTCAGCTTTTTATTTCAATTCGAGTTGCTTGAATATTATGAATTAGATACATAAAGTATACATGTATTTGTGAGTAGTTGTGAACAAATGATTAGTTTACTGAATTGTTAACGTCATTTGCTCACTTAAATTGATTTAATAATGACTCGATACCACCAAATTAGTGAATATCAAAAAACAAAGCAAATCAGTCGGTTATAAAAGTTACGTTTACACACACCAATTTCCATTCACCTTTTAAAAGCTATGCTGGAGAATGTTCTGAAATACGTTTAGAAAGTGTTCGATTTGTTCAGGCTAATATAACTTGCCCCTCAAAAACAAGTAAACTTATAGATTCACATCGATATGGCCCTAACATATATGTGAATAGCAGACCTGCTTAAGAAGACAATATGAAGCTTAGTTGAGTAGAAATTTTTTTTATCAAGTATTTTGTAGCTCATCTATTCAAGATTTCTGTAGCCTTTAGATTCGATATTCATTAAAGTAGCTTTCTTTTGAACTGTTAACGGTCTTTTAGCCCGTAATTTTGGGTGGTCAGTTTCTATTGATGAATCAGGATAGATAGTCATTTACGATTAATATTTGTTGTCAAAATGAAAACAGTTGATTGTATGTCGTTTCATCACGGCATATTTGCCTAGTCGTTTACTTACTCTTACTGGACAAGTTACCTTTAACATAAAAAGCAAACGCTTTACAAAAATATGCTGATTATTAATAAGAAAAGTAATCATGATTAGATGTTATTTAAAACATGGACAGTTACATGATATGGGCTTTGTGAGTCCACTCCCTACCAAATGGAATTAAAAACTAGCTATCAAGTTTTGTTCTTGTCAGCGATTTAGCTAGTTAGTACCTGTGTTAGACTTTACGTCTAAAGTACGGCTCAAGTTGAAGTAACATAGGATTGTAATTTGATTACTGAACTATATTGATTGTTGTAATTATTCTCAGTTATTACTGTAAACATTTTCTTGAACATTGTTGAATTTACATTGAATCATCAACGGGGATCAAACCCGCAATCTCCAAGTTAGTAGCAAACACTTAACATTCAGATCAGTAATTCAGGATCAAACGGTTTACATGCTTGACTTCGGTTGATTCATGATAATGTGAAAACATTTCCCAAAGCCATTCGTGACTAACTACCTCATACCTAACGCGGATGAACTCCAGTAACCAGTTCGTAGTATAAACTATACATTCTAGTTATTTAAGTTGTGAGTTAATAATCTGAAATTCATTAGTTAGAGTCATACAATGACTTGGGTTTTCGTCTTCTTCATATTCAGTTACTTTAAATTCATATCGATCATGCAGTCTACTAACTTGAATTAACTTTGTTGAGTTGCCAGTTCATATTCATTAATATAGTTTTTTCGGTAAGGTTATGCAACATAAATGTGATAATTGTAGCTAATGGAGCGTATATATATATGAATACATTTACTATTATCAGTACATGTAATTCCTATCGTAGAACGTTTGCATTTCCTTTCATATACTGATAACCATAATCAAATTGTTCATACTACATATATTAGGATTATAATGTCGACGATGTACAAACCTTAAATTATTTTTGGAAAGCCATCAGTGAATATTGTAATCTACTTGGTCTATTCTTAGTTTGTATTCATGGCACATATGTTGATTGGAACTGAATATAACATTCTTGCGTTTGTATCATTATTTAAACTGCATATTTTGTTTCATTTGGTATTGTTTGTTTGATTCCTTCCATTTATGTTTAGGACTGCAATTGATCAATCTCTTATAGGTATATGTGTATCGTGTGAGGATTGCCTCGATAATGCTTTAAGTGGAATCCAAGACACGAACTTCATCTTATTTACGATTCATCAACTGGATGTACTTGCATCCCAGAGTTCGAGTCTCTGAGTGAACATCAATTCTAGGATGCAGGTACATCTGGCTGATGAGTCCCAAATGGGACAAAATTTACGTCTTGGATTCCACTACTAGTCAACATTCGTTTATGCCTATAATGTATATTTCGTTGCTTACATATTTTCTGACCCTTATCTTGGCTCTGTACACTTCTACTATTAATACTAATGTTTTTTTTTAAATAAAAAACGGTTAACTGATTTATGTTTTTACTTTTCCATACAGATAATGTAATTGAAAAGAGTTCTTCCAAACCATCTTCAAATGAATCTGACGTATTCATCGTTGATTCAACACAGGTCAAGTCGTTTTTGACAGTCAAATTTCTATTTTTTATATTATTACACGTATTTATACTGAAATAGTTTTTAATCTGGATTAAGGTTAGTTTTCTACACAATATCTAGGTAATAATGTCTACTTTAACGTTGGAATTTCACGAACTATATTCATTCCAAAGTTACTTTACATCAAGTATTTTTAAAGATAGGGAAACGCTTAACAGGTTTGTTGTTTTAGTATGAGACTGTTTAAGTCAATTGGTTCTTTGACCTCGTCGAAAATCAGGTCTATGAACTTGGGGCTTCGTGAGGAACACCCTACCTTTAGCTTATCGTATCATATATATTTTTTCACAGTTGAAATCACGAACTGATTTTAGCTAGTCCATCATTGATAACCTTGAAGTATTAGACGGACACTTTGTCCTAATACGGAACTACTAGGCAGTGTGCGTCCACAATTTAGCACATGGCACTCTAACCCTTGACCTTCAGTCTCGCGCGCAAACTCTCAACCTCCAGATCACCAAGGGTTGTTTAATATCATGGACTGATTGAATTTAGACATTAACATCGCTTGATCCCAGCTCAGTGGTCTAGAGTCTGAGCATTCGTGCTTGAGACTTAAGGTCAAGGGTCAGAGTGTCACGTGCGGGATTATGGATGCACACTGCCTAGTAGTTCCATATTAGGACGAAATGTCTCTTTGGTGCTTCCAGGTTTTCAATAGTGGCTTAGCTAAGATCAGTCCGTGAGTTCAACTATGAAAATACTGCAATCTCCACAAATACTCCATATATATATCAAATAGTTCACATTTCTAACTGACAACAAAGATTTCTTTAGGTTCTGTATTCTATCCAAATTCGATAGCGATGATGTCTAATTTGAAGTTGATAATGCAGTTAATATATTCCATCAATACATCGAAATTCTCATATTAACTCGTTTTATACAAAATGAATTGAATAATTCCTGCCATCAAAATTTATCTATTTTGTAAGTAAGAGTATTTTCGGATGCTAATTTATACTTGGAACTGTTTGTATTATCAGTAAAATTCAATAGTCTTCACAACTTTATGCTACTACTTATAAGTAGTTTAGATAGTTTCAGTAAATAATTAAATGGACAATTTTAAAAAATGACTCTTGCACGAGTACTTAGTTTATTCTTTTTCAAATATCATTTTTACAGTTACCTGAAAGTTGGGATCGTCTTTCCAATGCTAATTCATCAATTCAAAGTGAAAATTCACTTGAAATTGGTTTTGAATTGAAAGATGATCTTGACGACAATATACCTGGGGCTATTGAAATTCCAGCAGTTGATTCTATGCATATACGTAGTTATGGTACTGCTCATACATACAATAATCAATATGGTCGATCGAATCCATGTCATAGTATATATAAAACTGCTCATAGTTTATATCCTACTACTACTATTAATATAAATAATAAATTTACATATCAACAAATATGTCCAAATACCACTTTATGGAATCCTTACAATTATGATAGAAGTGAATTAATGCATACTACTCAATTAAAAAATTACAATAATCTGTCAACTACTGCTCCAAATTGTGACATCTATTTTAGAACTTGATCTTATTTAGTGATTTGTTATTGTCTTTGTTTACAATTGCCTTCAATTTCATTTATTATTATTATTATTATTATTATTATTATTATTATTATTATTATTATTATTATTCTCTAAACATGTTTATCATGTTTGTTTATTTAGTTAATTCCAATTATTATTTTCTTTGCTATACACATCATTTGATGCATAAAGAAGTTACATTTTGTTGTAGAGCTTACAAACGAACTAGATTTTATTTTATAATTAATCAATGTGAAAGCATCAAAAAAGAAAGAACAAATATTGTCGAGATTTGAATATCACGAAAATATTTTCACTTTTCTTTGTAAATATATATGTTGTTATTTATTTGAATGAAACTGTGGTTATCTTTATTATTCTTTATTGATTATAATACTATGGGGGAAGTTTTGATTGATAAGAATGATAGGGTCCTTTAAATGCCCTTGTATACGGCCGAGGGTGAGGAAAATCAGCTCTCTGTCTTGAAATGCCTTTACTTGACCACGTATATACAGCCTCTGCCAGGGAAGTCCCACTCACTGCCTTGTTGCGGCATGTTCTGGAAGAGATAATCCTAGCTTTGTTATTCGGTGATGTTCGTAAACCAATATCCCACAACTGTGAATTTTTGGCACAATAAACGCACCATTGTACTGAAGTATATTACAGTTGATTAATCAATTATGCCTAGAACAGCTCCACGTCCCAGCATCAGTGGTCCTGCCACGTTAAAAGAAATAATGTGATACATCGCTTAAATTATTTGTTCAGAACATAACTCAGTAGTAAGTCTTACTTCGTACTTCCAATGGAATTCAATATGCAACAAAGCTGCTATACCAATTACTTGGATGCCAACCATAAAAATCGCCGAAATATGGACAACATCACGTTTTTTTATAGGCCGTATGACTCCTAGAGAATGCAGCATAACATACTGATGACCTTGAGGTTCCTTTCTGCCAGTCAGGAAACAGCACCTAGTTAAATCGAGTTAACAGCAGGAAGCTATATCATAACGGTGGTATGATAGCTTCGATCTCAATGGTGAACTCATATGTCGAATTGTTATTTGTAGTAAGACAAAACCGCTACGTTTCGCAGGTCGAGTATCGAAGTAGTGTTTTTAGCTAGGGTTATAGTCCCATGAAGTTTTCATCATCTACTAACTTCAGAGATAATGCAAAAAGTTTGAGTATTAGGGTTCGGGCTGGAGTTCTGGGGTGATTTTACAAGCTGTTGAAGGTTTTCGTCGCAAACTGACGTCAGCTATCATGTGATATATGTTACTCTTCCGTTTGCAAACATATGTGTTGTATCCAAGTGAAGATTAAATTACGAGTAACGTCTGAGACCTAATAATGGGGTAATATTAGTTATATATTCTTATGGTATAAATGTTCAGTAACTAGATTATGTATATCTATATTCCCACTGTTATAAGCTTTATTTTGACCTATATATTATTATTGTCCAATTTACTGTTCTTAAGCTATGTTCAGTTTATTGACTACTGCCTCCCACGTTCATAGTCACTTTGGCTTTATTGTGTATGAATGTTATTTCCTATTTTATGCTGCGTTGCGGTCTGTTGTTTGGTATATAAACGGACTATGTCTGAAATAAATGATTCACATAGTGGAGGCTGTTATTGGCATTCTGGACTCAGCTGGACGGGCTAGGCGAGCAACGGACCAATAGGACGTTAAGCTGATCAGACCGGTCGGACGTCATTGGTTTAGTACAGCATAAGAGCGAATAAGTTTCATTTTGATTGGTGAATGGATTACGTGATAACTAGCGGGCCATTAAGTCACAACAATATGAAACTTGGAGTTAGAAGTAGAAATAAGAACCAGAGAAGAAAAAATCTGACATCGCGTAACAATCTTGACTACGTATTGAATCACGTCAAGTACTTTGCCATACATCATGCCTTAGGAAGATGCATGTTCTGGAATTCAGCCCAAGCACCATTTTAGATCCACCTTCTAGCTGCGTGAAAGAAATTTTGATGGACAAACATTGCCGGCATTAGCTTCCTTTTTATTAACAATAGGGTTTTCTATCACTTGACTTTAAATACTGCCCAAGATACACTGGGCTTCATCGTGGTTTTGAGTAGCATAAGCAAGGCCGTCAATACAGCGTAGTTTTCCTAGTATCAATAGCTCATATTTTTCACTCAGAATCCATATGACGTCATCTGTTGTACCGAATATTACGATCTGAGTTCCATAGATTTTTGTTCACCAACATTTTGTCATCCTGCTTCTGCAACGGAACCTTTTTTAAACGCGTTATTAATACTAGGTGGACGGGTTTGTAGCAGTAAATATCGCAACATCTACTTCGGATCTTCCACGTTCATCGACGACGTTGCCTACTTAAAAGTTTCCAGAGTTTCTTCATCAACTGTGATTCGGTTGATGGTTCTCCTTGTTGTATTTGAGGATCTTGATTTTCACTTGTGTATGTTGAGGCCTACTGCTGCAGAGTCTACGGCTACACTGGCTTTCTTTACCTGCCTTTTTTGGTGTGTATGGAGTAGAAGGATCAGGTCATCCGCGAAGTTCAAATCATGCAAGCTTTTTATTGTATTCCGTGTTTCCTCTGAGGTATATTCTTTGTAATCCAGTCGACCGACAGAAGAAAGAGAAAGGATGAGGGTAGGCAGTCTTGTCTGACACTGATGTTTACTTGCAATGCATCTGTGAGTTTTTCGCGCACGACCTTGAAGTGTAGTCCGTCGTGTGAAATCTGTATGATATTGATGATCTTCTCAGGAACACCATAGTATCGAAGATGTTTCAATGAATTTCTCCTATCCACACTGTTGAATGATTTTGCATAATCGATCAGGATGATGTATACGGACAAACTCCATTCACTTGTTTGCTCAGCAATGATCCGTATTGTTGCGATTTGGTCTGTGCACGACCGATTCTTACGGATTCCAGACTGTTCGTTTTGAAGTTGAGCATCTACTGAATCTTTCACTGTTGAAAGCCTTTCCTGATACTGATAGTGGTGTGATTCCCCTGTAGTTTTCCCACCTGCTCAGATCTCCGCTTGATGAGGTGTCCATGTTTCCAGTCCACCGCCTCTTGGGTGATTCAAATACAAACAATTTCGTTCTCTGTATTGTGATCAAATAGTAACCATGTAGCTTTGTGTATTCATTTGTAGGAGTATATTGTGCTGTTTATGATCATTTTATCGAATGCATATGGATTTGAAAGTCTTTGACCATTCCATTTCCTTTCTCCCAGTCAGTTCATATTGTCGCATTATATATTCGCACCCGGTGTTGTCCATTCCGACTCTCACGTTTAGATCTCTAATCAAGTTATTCCAGTACTTCAAGAACTGTTATAAGATTGACTGCATCCTCTCAGGAAACTGATCTTCATTATGCTCGTCTCTATTATTGGCGATTGTATTGCACTGTTTGACATTCATTGTGGTCCTCTCATTTGTTTCGGGGGATGCTTTGATTATCCTGCATCCATGAGAATTCCATTCTACAAGTGAATTTCGCGCTTTTTGGACAGCGTCAGTGCAACTTCTTGTGTCAATTTCACTCTCCATAATCTGAGTACAACAGTATATTTTCCCAATTTATTCCGTTCTGTCTAACTTTGGTTCTATCAATTCCGCTTAGTCTGAGAACCGCCATGAAGTACCTCTTCATTTTTGCATCTACTCGACTAATCCTTTCGGCCTTAAACAATTTCTGGTTTTTCCGTGTGATAATATAAAGAGGTAAATAACGGAGGGATGCTAGACAATGAAGGTCAGTTTATAGGTCGTTGTTTTTCCTCATTCAAAAGGTCAATCACTAGAATCTAGTTTTGAAACGAATCGCAAACTTTGTTAATGGTATAGATTACTGTCATATTGTTTTGTTACAAAAATTGCTATTTCAAACATAACCACCGTATTTGATGTTTCTATTCTAGAGTCGCAGTCAGGATATAGACGTATTCTTTGCGTCTCTTGTGGATTACAGCTATGTTAATTATGCATCAGTTTGAACATTTTTATACATTGTCAAAACACTGGTTACGGTTTTATAACTCGTAGTTGTGACGGACAACAACCAGTTTTCATAAGGCACAACTGATATCGAGGATATTGTTAGTTTTGTTTGATTGGTAGATTCACAAATCTGCTTTGTTTAACTACTTGTTTTCTCAAAATAATTTGTACCCACCTATTCTCTACTGGTCGCGTTGAAAAAGATTATTAGGGAAGCACTACAGGCTTTGAAGCTTTTAGCTTCTTTCCACGTAATTTTTCCATTTATACTCGTCGTGTTTACGACTGGAACGTGGCAGTACCTGTTAGCGGAAAACGCCTTGCTCAGATGATATTTGCCTTAATAGTAATATATTTCCGACACGTCAAGTTAACTGTTAAAGTTTTACACTTATTTTCATACGTCTCACTCAATACACTGCTCTTCGTTCTCTTACGCACATATTGAACGTCATAACGAATATCATAATCACCCCAGCATTTAAACATTTGTCCCCTAATGTGTGAAGCTCAAAGGGTGTCTGTACGTTGATTAAAAATCTCCATCACGCTTATTTTATATTGTGCCGAGGCCGTATAAAAACACAGATCATTCGTGACCTATGGTTATTGCAATAGATCCAAATCCATTAACAAAGTAGAAAACGTGAGGCCAAAAAACATGCTGACCAATACACAACATACTCTGGCCTCATTACAACTTGATTAGACATGCACCATGTACTCGGGCTTTATTTATTGATAACTTGCATCTCGACCATAGATATAAACAAAACCAACAACAAACCGTGTAGCTCGGAATCATTTAGTACTTCTTAAAGTTTACTCAAAAGCGTCAGTCACTGTGCACAGCTTTTAGAAAAAGCGGCTAACCCTAATCCATCAAGAGACTGACAGTGGGATACTCTTTATAACGCCTTACAGGCTATAAGTCCGCCTGCAGCAAATGGTTCACTGATTTAGATCGAGACTGTTCACTTCAAGATAGTATTTTTCTCACATATATATACATATGCATGTTGTAATATGAGTATCTCATAAACAGCTTCTACCACTCACTTCTATTCATCTTTTGATGAACAAGTGGATCAAAATCAAACGACTAGTATGCATATTTAATCTGTTTTAAAGTGTCTGGGTTCTTACTATTTTATCAAGTGAAAAAAAGTTATTCCGAACTCATTGCTTGAACATATATTCAGAAATCACGATGAAAAAATATATATGTTGGTTTGCGAATAGCATACTTAAGAGCACCAATAATAAGGCTGGGTAAATGGTTTTTCTAATAGTAAAACCAACCGATTTCAAACATATCCGGTTTTACTCTAATATTCTAAACAAAAGCTTGAAAAAATCAACCTCGTGATGGCGAAGAGTAACTCTTATATTATTTTTAAGCAGTTCAGTGTCTTAGAATTCCACCTGATAATTGAATGCACCACGTTCACAGCTGCAGTATTTTTTAATGGTCTGAACGACTAACCACGTTGTTCTCGACCTGGTTATCGTCATCTGCCGACAGTAGATGCGAAAAATCGTCCTTACGTTCGACATAAACATAGTAATACAAGTCTGCACAGTCACTCTCCTGACCGCAACTCTGTAGCAACAAGTCGATGGCCATCTAAATTAATGACGTAAAACTGACGACGTAGTCTTATAGTGAGATTGATCCCCAGCTATACGATTCTCGAAGCTGAATATATAACTACTGAGAGAAGATTAACATTCAACATGTAGCACTTGGAGGAAGTCGATAATGGTGGACGTGAGAACAATAATTCAAATTGGCATTATTCAGCTATGCAGGCGTGGTCACTCTATATAAAACCTATCGCATCTTGCATAAAATATATTACTCTTTATCCAGCCAAATGTGTTCTTCAGAAGTATTTAACATCACATCGCTTATTCTTACGATAGGACAAGTCAATATAGATAATGATGTAGCTTCCACGTAAGATCTCATAAACTAGTTTTTCACATCATGACATGTCTACAATTTTGAGATTAAGTGTATTACTTGGCAGCTAAGGTAAATGTACACATATAGAAGTAGACCATAACTCAACGGTCTCTTCCTTATCATCAACTATATCCATAATTTATGTTTTTAAATGCTTTAAAGGATGAATTTATAAGTTTACCGGACCAAATTTCAGTAAGAACTTGAAGTGAGTGGTAGTCATTAGCCAACTTCTCCAACGGATCTTTACTCTCTGTTGAGCCCAACATGCTACCTAACGCATAAGGAATGAAGTACTTTATGCATGTCTTTGTCCAACGATCTCTATGTCAAACTAAATCTATTATGGACAAAGGTATCAACAAACCCGCACTTACCTTCACGAACTAGATCCTTGGTAAACACATACAAAACATGATCACATGTCAACAAGTAGTCATTGAAACTCTTATAATCAATTCGTGAGCGCGAAGCATCATAAACATAAATTACGGTCTAGTCACAGAAGCTAATATATTTATTCTCTATTCGAATAATTTTACTTCACCGTTTGAGCAGACAAACTGTAAGATACCGTCGATGCCTTTAATGTGTAAGATCTAATAATGATAATGTAGGTTTAACAACTTGGATATAACTGAGACCCCATTTTGAAGCCGTAGTCCCTAATCTCTTTATTTCAGGGAAAATTTGGCATTTTCATAAATGTCATATGAAAATTCATGGATTTTCTTAAAGTTTATGGAAACTTCGGGAAAAACCCAAACTTTTTCGAAAGGTTTGAGGTTTTGTATCATTTCCTTAAAATTGATAAACCTGCGTCCAAAATCGTCGACTTCTTTGTCACTGTGTTTACGTCTATATGTACAAACATAGATGACGTGAAATACTTTAAAACTGGGTCATCTCAGTCCTTTTACAGACTGATGGGACACAACAAGTATGAATATATTGCACGAACAATTATTGTTAACATGTCTCATTAACACATATGCTTCCTTTGGGAAAGTTTTAGAATAAACCCAACTAACAAATAGACGCGATAGCATAATATCACAGAAGATTTATTCTACAATATCTTTTGTTCGGTCCCGAAGAAATGGTCAGCCTGCGACACTTACGTAGTACAAAATACCTCATCGGCGACAACAGATAAAAAGAACCACAATGGAAACAACTTATTTTAAGCGTTGCGGAACTACAAACAAGAATTTGGCGGAAAGTCATCGGCATGATGAGCAATTTGTCTACACACTGGCCTCCAGTTCATGGAACATGATGTGAATCTGTCGCAGTCTCCTGACGCCTCAAGATATCATTCTGTAGCTGTTGCTGAGTATTGTATAAGTCAGATTCATGGTCCAAAACATCTTTAAAATGTCACGGGAATTGGAAGTTTAACGTCTTTACACGTGACATTTTGATGACCGAAGTAGACCAACCCAGTCACATCAGAAGCGAAGAGGCCCGAAGTTATATTTGGAGGGATGTCGATAAATCGAGAGGCGTTTGATGTCAGCTGACTAACTGTTGCAAAGGATGAGTGGTATAGTGTACCTAATCGTGATCTGATGCGGATGCGTGACAAAGCGCCTTCAGCTGGGTGCCCCCAGTAAAACTAATGACGTCAGCATCGAGTGCCGAAGACTTACGGAACTGTTCATTTTTTGGGACCTATTTACCGCTACAAAGGATTGAGAAGTATGATAGCATAACTTCTGTCACTTGAATGATCGAGGCTTACTTGTTCAAATTTAAAATTAGAACGATATATATGGACGAACAATATTGTTTACTGTTAGAAATTCGTCAGGCTTTAGTGTGTAGGTCACTAAGGTAGATTATCTATGACTTGAGGCCTACTCGAGTTAGACCGGAATAGTGTGACGATCCAGCTAACATCAAAGTCACACCATATGGTCAGCACCTAACATGGATTACCAAAGAGCTATGGTTGCTTTGTAGACCGTATAACACAAAGGACATTATTACAGAAAGTGAAAGTAGTTGCAAGTGAGAGGCTGTGACCACCACCGCGTGGAGCGGCCCACGGTGTGCGATAAATTGGTGCGCATTGGTTGTCCTTGGCTTTGAAAAAGATAGATGAGCTTTTGACACTCAGTGACTCGATTGTTGGATGATTTGAATGGGGCTCGGTGACATTTCACAAACCCTACGACTGTAACGTACTGTAATATTCATACGCGTATACGGTCTCATTAAATCAATCAAGACAGTCTAAGATACAGTGATAACAGTGGAATAGATTACGTAAATAAACATAATAAGTAAAGAGTACAGATTGATTGTGTGATGACAAGTGTACGAGATGTGACAAATATAATAAAATCTTGCATCCATATTTCATAATGGCAACTTGATCAATGGTCTAAAAAATTTAGGTGATGAAATAACACTCATAAAAACCACAAGACTATGTTGATTTCTCTTCACTCCCTTACGCCTGTTTTTCACAAGTATATGATTCATTGTCCAATTGTCTGAACACTTCTTACTACATAGTCTTATGATCCTTATGTTCTTTCAGCATCTGTATTTTTCATATCATTGGCCTAATTACCATTGTTAAAGGTGGATGCAAGGCTTTATGATTTTTGTCACAGCTAGTACACTTGTCATCACACTGAAGATGCCACTGGTACTCAGTACTTGACAACGCTTTAACCAGTAACACCCTTTAATATGAAGCGCACCCATCAAGTGAAATCAAAAGACAGAAGCGAGGAGGTTCGAAGATATATTTGATAGGCTACCAATATATCGAGGATCGTCTGAACTAATCTGGCTAGCGATTGCAGGGGTTGTTGGGCACGGCGTTCCCACTTGTGATCTGGTGCGCATGCATGATCGAGTGCCTTCAGCTAGGTGAGTCCATTAAAACTAATGTGGTCAGCATCCAATGTCGAAAACTTACAGAGCCATTTATTTTGGGGATTTATTTACCGCTACAGACCACTGCCCCCTAGTGGTGGTGGTGATGACCCTAAGACGTGGCCAGCCAGAAATTTAAACCCAACGAGTTTGTCGTTGGTAAACACTCTTCTGATAGCTTGCTTCTGTGAACGACCCAAATCATCCAGGTGACGCACTAGTCGTCTTACGGCTATTTGACCTTCAAATGCACTGTGACCTCTACAATGAACAATGCCACTGGGTCGTTGCCGCGTTTGCACGTTTGCAAGGTGCTGGCATGGCTAAGTGTTCGTTCATCCGACAGCTGAAGTTTGCTACCTGGTCATTTTGCATCTACTTCATTGTTTGCATTCTTCTCGGCGCGCCAATATTCGAGTAAGCTGGTTACATCACGTATTTTATAGTTATATTCAGACAATGGAAAGAAACTGGTTTAATGTCACTTGTGCTCACAATATGTACCAACATTCCATTCCTCATGTTTTTCGAAGGAAATCTTGATAATCTGAGATCAGTTCTTGCTCCGTCGTAAGTCACGTTTTCTACAGAAATCTGTTGATGCTAAATTTCGCTACTGGTTTATGCTATAAATCCAAGTAACTCGAAATAGTTTCATGGGTTCATATCTATCTACATTAAATTATGATTGTCAGTATTACGGCTTAATTCACTTAATTTTGCGCACTTGGCTATCTTTTATTTTGAAATTTTTATTGCAATTACTGAACATGTGCTTTATGTCGTAGGATTATTTTACTAGTAGTATTTCCAAAACAAGTTTTTGGGTCAATTGACCAGTCAAACTAACTATTCTAGTTTCTATACTTAGGAATAATTTAAAACTAGAACGATATATCTCGACTGTACTCTAAACTATTGTTATGTATAACTGTAGTTATTTTTACGCTATGCATATAGATATATTTTTTGTAATCTGACACGCTCTTTTAATGTTTGTCATTTTTCTGTGCAAGTCACTATCAACCGACTTGGGTGTTCTTATGTTCCGTCTACCACGTCATCTACCCTTTTTGTTAGATTCTGGCAGAATACTTAACTGCTTACCTTATGTAACAAACCATATGGACAAAGCCAAAACGCAGACTCGGTTATACAGTGAAACGTATCACAGGCTATCAGATCGGTCTTCCAACTCACTTTGTAGAGCTGCAGAGTAGATAGTTGTACTTGGAATTTTATTGGTGTTGTGTACTTGAACCCGTCATAAACTGTTTCAGTCACACTTTGTAAAGGACAGTAGGCTAGTTGGTCTGTCAGTCTTGGCAATGGTCGTCTCTCAGTTGATGAAACTTCCTTTTGAGAGTGTCAACATATGGAGTTTCAATCACGTGTTGAGGTAATGAATTCTATTCGTTGATGATTCGATGGGAAGATTGGTAATCCGCTGACAAGTGATTTGTTATGGACTGGCAAACGTTTTTAGAGTGCCCTCATAAATTCCCTGTTTTGGAAGACAAGGATAATGAGGGCGTACCAAATGCAAATTTATCACTAAGTGATTTGAAAACTGACCAAGTCGCCTCTGTTTCTTCTATATGACGATGGAAATAGTTCGGGTTTAGCCTCTAGCGCATTATACGGGAGCTTCGCCATTCCAGGAATAAGCTTAGTCGCCGTTCTCTGAACTTCTATAGAAAGCCCAGTCTTTTTTCAAGCAGGGACTAGCCGCTTGCATTCGGTACTCAAGTTTAGGAGGCACGAATACTGTATACAAAGTCAAAGTTTTTAGCGTCGACCTGGCTAAAGGCCCTACGTATTGACCATGGGGTTCTAAAACCTTTGGTGGCTATCGCACGGCAGTGTGCAGTAGCTTTTAAGTCCTAAGTTATTGTGTGTCTGGTCAACAGGTAGCTCAATGTTATTCATCATGTATGTATCTGTACCTTGATGACCAACATGCATCACAATGCACTTGAAAGTGTTTATCGGCAGCTACCAAGTTTGAGACCATTCATATAATTTCTCCAGGTCATTTTAAAGCTCTAAGCTATCACTTTTACTCTTTATTGCCCTCCATATCTTAAAATCGTCGGCAGATAACAAAACCGATGATGATAGAAGACAACGAAAGTCATCTACATACAGGAGGAACAGCATTGACCCGAAAGTTGTATCTCGAGGCACTCCATTGAGCACAGTTTCCCAGCTAGACAACTTGGAGTTCACCCGTACGCCTTGTTGACGCCCAACTAAGAAGTTCTTTTATCCACATTAATAAATCGCCTCCAATCCCAATATTACTTAACTTATATGACATTTGGTTGTGAATGACTTTGTCAAACGCCTTGCTGAAGTCAATGTGAGCTACATGTATGAGCAACTTTTGATCTTTAAGAGCGTACCGGCTTTCACGGGCTACTAACATGTTTGTGAGACGTGAATGACCTGTTCTAAAGTCGTGCTGCTCACCAGAAAGAATCCCGTCTTTGTTAAGATACTGAAACAACTTCCGAATAATCTTTTCTAAAATCTCTCGCAATTAATTTGTGGTTGGAGACTCAAACATGGCAAATTGAAATCTCTAAAGCTCTAGTTAACACCATTGACATGGTAAACACTCTTTGTTAACGTTTAGTTATTTTTATGGTTCTTCTTAAGTCCTGGATTATTGTATAATTTCTGTTTCCTGATTTCATTCCTTCTTCCACTTCACCTCGTCACGTTGACCATATAGGCTGATAAATATTTTCTCCAGGTTATAAAATGACCTACATTTACTATTGGTCTAAGGCAGTTTGGTAAGTGCAGATTTCCTGTTTTTAAGCTGGAAAACCATCTTTAATTATGTGGTCAGAGACTTTCTGGTGACTTGAAATTGTTCTCAATGGTCGAACTGCATTCATATTATTTCCACAAGATTTTAATCTTAGTTTCTTCATTCTTAGGGTGTATTCGTTTATTTTTAAATCATATTTGTTGCTTGACTTTTGCTGTTAATAATATTATCACTTCACTTCTCGTTTAATTAATGTTCACTGCACTTATGTGATGTAGAAACATAAACTAAATAAGGCTTATACTGTATTCGACTTTCAGAAATGATTGCAATCTTATTGTACTACTATCAAACCAAACGTGTATATCTTAGCTTGGAAATGTCTTTTTAACCAGTCAGTTATTTTCTTATTCTAAGAACTATATTTTTATTTGTTATTTTTAGGCTACCAGAAGAAAAGTTTGTTGCCTTCATTGGTTATGGTTGTGTTATTGGGGCTTGGTTATCAGCTGGTTTCTTAGTTTTAGATTGGGACAGACCTTGGCAAGCGTGGCCTATTCCATGCATCATTGGAGCTGTTTTGGGAACTTTCACGGGATGGGTGATCTTCAAGTTAATCTCTTATTTATCGCGATATCGAATTTCAAGTGCTTCAAGCTATGGATCGTTTTCTCAAGTCTCTTCTGATAAATATCGTTATGACTAGGTTTGGTGATATATATACAACAGGAAGTTTCTGTGATAAACACTCTAGTGTCCCTAACTGTTTCTTTTCTTACGAAAACTATCTAATTTATGTACACTTTTTGCCTAATATATATATTACTTTTTACAAATTTGTTTTATAATTATTCTAAGCCACTGTTTGGTTGAACATGGTGCGCATTCTAAAAGTCCACGAGCATGATGTCTTCACATAGTACTTCGCTTACTTGTACAGAATTGTTAGCTGTTATCAATTCATTGGTGAATATATATTTGTCATAAGGTTTCATAAACATTGGCCACAGAACTTAGTGTCGTTAAAAGCACTTTTGTGTGCTTCTATAAGTTCATGTCACAGATATAGTATTATGTTCTCTGAACTGGTTATTTTAATTGTTGAGCTTCAATTGTTTTCTTTAGTAACATCATAAGCGAATTCCTAGAAAAGAATCGTACTGTTTAAGTTTATTCGCAATTGACTGAAAGCTTGTTCAGTCTAGCTACAATTGATAAATTATTATCTATAATTGTGAGGCCATTGTTTAGTTTATTTTGGTTATCTTCTCCCCTGATGTGATCTCTACCTTAGAGTTTGTCTTTTTTAATTAGCTGATAGATTTGGCTAGTGTTCGTTTATCTGTTGACAGTGCCTAAATCAAGTGTTAATTTTCTAAACTCTCACTGTCTTTCTTTATATATCTTTTGCTCAGTGTTTCGACACTTTCCTAGTTGAGTTCGTCTGTAAGTATCCACGTTCATTGGTATAAGTTGTAGGATGTTGTAACGCTTACCAGCTACCTAACCTTAACTTAAACGGATATAGCGGCCACTTCGTCCACTGTATTACTTATCACAGTTTGCTTCAGTTTATCCTGGGAATAGTATTTTGTTTGTCTTCCTTTGTCATTGTGTCTTTTGAATTGGATAATATTGATTGTAAAACTTTTGTGTGGTGCACCGATTTTCAGTGGCGAATAGTTACCGATTTGTGTAAGTTGGCTCCGGTGAGATTATGATTTATGGACTACCTTTGAGCGACGCTGAATTGACCTTGAGAGTGTCCACCAAATGAGAGTTATAAACTAGCTTGAGGAAATGGAATTATGATTTGCAGTTGATGGTTAAGTTTAAGAATTAGATTTAGGGTTTTCATCACGAACTCTATTTAGCCAAATGGATGAATGAATTTCGCGCCAAAATCCGAGACCTCTTATCTTATACTTGATTGGTTCGTCCATAAATTATAGTCTCACCGCTGGCTCCTCATGTTTGTATTATGTAAACACGCTAATTGTTTGAAATCTGGATTTACTACTTACAAGTTCTGTGTTGTATGAATGAAACCGCTAGTTAATATTTAGAAGACTCATCGGATTGACGAAACTTTTTGTTTCCTAACGTATTGTTACATTTTGTATTACGCATTATCAAGATTTATGATAACATTTAGTCAGGTTTTGTGAATTTCGAGTGTGATGTGTCTGAGTCTTTAAACCGAACACAATCTAATTCACTAGTCTATTCAGTATAAGAATTTTGTAGGTTATTGAATACAATAGGTGGAATGTGGCTGGTAGTGGAATTCATGACGCACAGTTAGTCCCATTTGGGGCTCACAGTCTGGATCTACTTAAATCCTTGAGTTGATATTCACTCTGATATTAAGGTACGTCTAGTTGACGAGGTTTAATTAAAGTGAAAGGCTTTCTGGATTCCACTGCCAGTCATATTCAATCTGTCCTCTATTAACTTGTTGCATAATGGCCATATCGAGACAATCCGAACGGGTTGCACATTCGCGAACCATGACTGATCATACACATAGTTGGTGCAGAATAATATGATGGAAATTCCCATTTTGACATTTGGTAAATAAAGAAGGAACGAATCGAGTAAAGAATTTTCTTTTTAATTGGTTTTTCACCATGGCTCTACACTAAAATATTTATGCATGATTTACAATAATGAAATAATACTCATCGAGTAGATACGTTACATAATAATTATATAAAGACATCGATTATAAACTAACATTGAGTAATTGGAAGAAAGAGGATTATAATAATCAAAGTAACTATTCGAAAACCAAGCAGTTGCTACGTTGCATGATGTATAAAAAACAAGAAGGAACTAACAAAATATTTTGATGAACGGTTAGTAATATAGTAGTTGTGTAATAATCAAGAGAAGAATGTTGGAAATAAGTAAAATACAAAAAGCGGAAGGAATACGAAAATAGTTTATCAAAGTTCTGCTACAAACACCCCTATACCGATGGCCAGGGTAGCGAGAGCGGTTGTACGTACTTCTTTTGTGTTGTAACGTGTGAATTGCAGTTTAGTTGGAGCAGCGTTCATATATCGATCGATTACAGTGACACGTAAAACACGTAGTGAACGACCTAGGGTCCCGATTGGTCCCGCTTCCCTGTCTAGCCCAGCCAGTTGAGTCTAGAACGTAAGTCACAGCCTCTGAGTTATGAATCATTATATTTCAGCCATACTGTATTTATATACCAAACAAACAAACCACATCGTACCATAAAATAGAAAACAACATTTACACAATATTTAACGAGTGAAATAAATAACGGCCAATAGGAAATGTTCGTTTAACGTCCAAGGACATCATAGGCTTAACATGATAATGGTTGGCACATTATTCTTCCGCATCCATAACATTTTGGATGCAAAGATTTGGTTTGTGAACATGGATTCCAATGGCTGCAGAAATGTGCAAAAGACGAACTGGTAAACCATACGGCAAATTTGATGGAATATGATGGATAACCGTAAAAACTTTATTCACTTCGACTTGATGACCTGTGTCCACCAAGTGAGCGAGAATAGAACTCTTAATCACTTATCTTTCCTTGCTCAACCAAGACGGATGATGTTCTGTTATGCGATGACGGGTTTGTCGAGCTTTACGCTCTATATAACTGGTTCCGCAGGAGCAGTTGAATCGGTAAATGCACATGGATGTGACAAATTATTAACCGTTCTTATTTTAGAGCGGTTTTAGAAAATGGCACTCAGTCTGGCTTCATTAAATGTTTTCTGTACCGCCTTTCTTAACCTTTGAGTCACAGTTTACTCGGTAGCATCGTTTAGGAATTTTAATTGTAAGAACAGTCAGTCAACTCCAACGTAGGACCAAGCAAATATATGTATCGGTTCAAGTTGCCATACCTCATTAGCACAACGAAATGAACACCAAATTCGTAGAAGTAGTTGCTTCAATAATAGTAATATATAAAAGATTGTGTATAAGAATATAGTAAAGGAAGAAAGACAGCAATTTTAATCTCATAGTTTAAAGGCAGACAGTGAATGTGTACACCAACGACATTGTGATCGATCGTGAGCCATGTCACCCACACTCTCCAACGATTGGTTACGATAGTCATCTTTTTCATATGTTTGTCAATGAATTTTGTTGGGTGTCCATTCTTACTAACCAAGTTACGAATATTAACCAATTCATCTACAATGATGCCATCCGAGCAGATCATTCCAGCACGGATGAGTCAGGATCTTTAATTTTTTTCTGTATTCGATTTGTACAGCACTATAGAAATGAGTGTATTGTCCAACTGTAAACTTCTTATGTATCCCTCTTTTTAATGTTCCATCTGATCCTCTAGTTAGTTGGACATCTAGAAGCGATATGCTATTATTCTGTTCTTCCTTTAGTTTTAAAGTAATCGATGAATGAATATTATCGAATATATTAAGTAAATTCACCTTTTCATGTTCTTTTTCTAATACTATGAGAGTATCATCTATATGGTGACAATAAGATGTTAGATGGTTAATTGTGTCCTTAATTGGCTCATTTTCTAGTAGAGGGCCCAATGGTGACCCCATGTCTACCCCATCCAGTTGTCTATAGTATTCATTGTCAAATCGGAAATGGACATTCATGGTACATCTAAGAATTAACTGTTTTATTGAGGATGCAGAAATTAAGGCCTCTATGCGCTTCTCTGTTAATTCATTACAAATAAAATCCATCGTTTCAACTAGGCTCATTAGCTGCTTAAAACCTACAATATTTAAAATCAACGTTATAACAGATATTGACATATTTATAAATATAAGGGTGATTAGAGATGAATATGTGTATCATGATGTAGTGAAGATTCTGATAGAGTTAATAAGGTCATAGAAAATTTTGTTCCGGATAAATAACGTTTGAGAAGGAAAGTTCCAGAACATTGAAATAACAATTAGAACTCATGGAGTTGGTTGTATAATGAAGCAATTGAAAGCAGATTAATCGTAGTAAAGAAAGATCTGAATTGAAATCATTCAGTTATGAATTGAAGAAAAATAACAATAATTTAATCAAACTTCAGAAAGAATTGAAATAATGAATGACGTAATCAATAAAAAAGGGGTGTAATGTTACCAGGGCAAAGAAAGTTTTATTACTACCTCGTTTTGGATACATCGGAATCTTCGCTACATCATGATACACATATTCATCTCTAATCACCCTCGTATTTATAAGTATGTCAATATCTGTGATAACGTTGGTTATAAAATCTTATAGACTGTAGGCAGTTGATTCGAATCTAACGAAACATAATGAATTCATTTTGGTGGTGTTTTGTTCTCTGAGCTGGATGGTTTGGTCGTGGAGCTTTCATCGTTCTTCTGAACGACATCATCAGCACAAACTTCAGATAGAAGTGAAGTGTTCGAATTTCTCCATATGTATCTCACAGCTTGTTCTGTGCACCTCGATGTTGATTGGTTCTTGTTGACCTTAAATTTTTTTCATTGTTTACTTCTTTGTTTTGGTTGTGTCTCCCATTGGTTTGATTTTTGTTCCTATATTTATGCATGATTTTCCTGATTGGTTGATAAATTGGATTGATTTCAATATGTTTGTTGATTGCTGATTGACCTGAGTGCCAAGCTTGGCACCATCCAGCTCAGAGAACAAAACACCACCAAAATCATCCACCTGAGCTACAAATCTTCTCCACCATCTCATAATGAATTCATATTATTCTGCACCAATTTTCGTTCTTGCTCTTTTCAAGACTGATCAACTTTCAGTCAAAACTATCAACAACTGGGTAAGCCAATGAATTTCAAATTGAATTAGGTAACTGAAT